ACAAACACTTTATAAAATATTTTGTTTGGAAAATGAGAAAAATATTAAGGTCCTCTTTAGAATTTCCTCATTGTTTGGTTTTTGAATGCCCAAAAAAGTTTGCTTTTTTAAATTCTTTAAACGTTTTTTTTTAAAAATCAAATAAGGTCAAAGTTCAAGTATTTTTAATGAGGTGTCCTACCTGTAGATAGCGTCCATGTTGTTTCTCCTCAAACCGTTTATCTCCGGATAATTTTGGGTAAAATCCTGAAAATTTCACATTAAAGAGGCTAGGATAATTCCTGGAAGCTGGCCCCGACTATGTGCTGAGTTCTATGTGAGGTCCCGTTGGAAACGTAAAGACGTAAAAAACACCGCCATTGTTGTTTCCGTCTCTATCTTTCCAGAAACGACTCTTCATCGGACTGATTGCTGCTGTCGTCTGTAATTCTCGCGTTTTTCATTTTAAACGGATTTTTTTTTACGTTAGCTTCTCTTGTAGCACCTGTGTGTTGATGCTTGTCTTCTTCTACGCTTTTGATCAAACGAACTGGGCCTGTGAATGACGTCATGCTTCCCCCTACAGCCTGACTCTGGTCATTACAACAACACTTTATATTCTCAGGTTTTCACTAAATATAACAAATTTTTATTTAAAAAAAGAGTAATCACTGGATGTGCATCTACAGCTGTTGATTAAAACTTTGCACATTTTTCATTAATTTTTTTCTTTTTTTACCCTCTAAAATCCAAYGTTAAAGAGCAGGAGCAGAGTTTCTACAGAAGATTAATCACAAATAAACCCAATTAAAAACTTTAATATCATACATTTAATCTTTCATTGAGGAGGTTAAAGTGTTAATGAAATATTCATGTAGGCATATTATAAAACAGATTATTGTTTTTTGTTTATCTCTTTCATTACAAACACATAAAGGTAAAAAATATAACCTTTTAGAGGGAAACTGGAGCGATGAAAACATCAAGTCTGATCRTGTTTGAGTTCCAGAGCAGCTCAAAATAAAATGTACAGTGTTTAAAGATATTTCCCTTTTAGACAGAAACAATAAAACAGCTGTGAAGGAGTTAGAGACCCTAAGGTGGCGTTGGTTTAAAAATGTTTTTAAATAATTCTGTTGTGAGCACAGGAAGCAGTACTTCCTGCTGTGGAGCAGAAAGAATCTCTGACAGAAAACACTAAATATCAYGACTTCATCCAGAAAGAAAGACATTTTCTGGGAAAATACAGCAAAGCTGAAAAAGTTGAGACTGAGTGGAAAATTATAAAAGCAAAATATCAACTAAAACGATCAAAACATTAGCTAAAACCATAAATAGTAGCTAAAATCATCAAAACTGTAACTACAGGTAGCAAAATACATGATAAAGCTGAAATTAACAAATCAATGGAAACAAGATGCAAAACTGTAGCTAAAAGTATCAGAGTTGCAGCTAAAAATAAAGTAGCAGAGTGGTAGCTAAAGGCTAAATGTAGCAGAGTGATAGCTAATGGCTAAACATAGCAGGGTGATAGCTAAAGGTTAAACATAGCTGAGTGATAGCTAAAGGCTAAGCGTAGCAGAGTGATAGCTAAAGGCTAAATATAACAGGGTGTTAGCTAAAGGCTAAACATAGCAAAGTAATAGCTAAAGGCTAAATGTAGCAGAGTGGCAGCTAAAGGATAAACATAGCAGAGTGATAGCTAAAGGCTAAGCATAGCAGAGTGATATCTAAAGGCTAAGCGTAGCAGAGTGATAGCTAAAGGCTAAATGTAGCAGAGTGATAGCTAAAGGCTAAACATAGCAGAGTGATAGCTAAAGGCTAAGCATAGGAGAGTGATATCTAAAGGCTAAGCGTAGCAGGGTGATAGTTAAAGGCTAAACATAGCAGGGTGATAGCTAAAGGCTAAACATAGCAGAGTGATAGCTAAAGGCTAAACATAGCAGGGTGATAGCTAAAGGCTAAACATAGCAGGGTGATAACTAAAGACTAAACATAGTAGAGTGATAGTTAAAGGCTAAACGTAGCAGGGTGATAGCTAAATGCTAAATGTAGCAGGGTGATAGCTAAAAGCTAAACATAGCAGAGTGATAGCTAAAGGCTAAACATAGCAGAGTTGTAGGTAAAAGCTAAACATAGCAGAGTGATAGCTAAAGGCTAAACACAGTGGAGTGATAGCTAAAAGCTAAACATAGCAGAGTGATAGCTAAAGGCTAAACACAGTGGAGTGATAGCTAAAAGCTAAACATAGCAGAGTGATAGCTAAAAGCTAAACATAGCAGAGTGATAGCTAAAAGCTAAACATAGCAGAGTGATAGCTAAAAGCTAAACATAGCAGAGTGATAGCTAAA